CAGCAGCAACAGAAGGTACAGATGAAGCATCTGCTGCTCCTGCTGCAGCAGATGCTGCTGCTGCTGCTGCTGTTCTATCCGAGAAGCTATCTCTAGCTCGCCTTGCTGATGCTGCTGCTGAGCTGCAGCAGCAGCAGCAGCAGCAGCAGCTGCAGCTGCAGCACAAGCAGCAGCAGCAGCAGCAGCAGCTGAATCCGTGGCTGCTGCTGCGACAAAGACAGCTGCCGCTTGCTGCTGCTGGCGTCAGGCCTACTGCTGCTGCTGCTGCAGCACAGCTGCGGGAGCTGCTGCAGCTGCTGCAGCGCATGCAGGGGCTGCCGCAGCAACGTCGCGAGCTGCTGCTGCTGCTGAGCTCATCGCCGCTGCTGCAGCAGCAGCTACCCCGGGTAGCTAAGCTGCTGCAGACGCAGAGACTGCTCCCGCTGTACATGCAGCCCCACAGCAGCAGCAGCAGCAGCAGCAGCAGCAGCAGCAAGTTGGCAGGCGCCGGGGGCTTTGCTGCTTCACAGCTCAAATTCCCCCCACCCAATGTTGTGGTGAGACCAGCAGCAGCAAACAGCAGCAGCAGCAGCAGCAGCAGTAGCAGCAGCAGCAGCAGCAGCAGCAGCAACAGTGTCGTATGTACAAAGCAGATATTTATAGAAAATACAGCTGTCTTTGATTCTGCTGCTGCTGCCTATTATTGTTTTTACTTCTTCTCCTACATATTCTTGCTGCTGCCGCTGCTGCTGCTGCTGCTGCTGCTGCTGCTGCTGCTGCTGCTGCTGCGGTGTATGTACAGGTAGCGCTGCCTGATGGGGGCTCCATAGAGGGGAGCGCCCGCTACCTGCGCCCTCACTTATATCATCCTTCGTGGCTGTGGCAGCAGCAGCAGCAGCAGCAGCAGCAGCAGCAGAGTGCTGCAGCAGCATTTGCTGCTGGCTCCTTTGAATCCCCTGAACGCTACGTGCTGCAGACTGCTGCTGCTGCTGCTGCTGCTAGCGAAACCAAACAACGCGTATTACTCTCTCCTTCTATCGTTACACAGGTATATATATTTAGGGTTTAGGGTTTAGGGTTTAGGGTTTAGGGTTTGTCCTGGGTTTGTATTTTTTTTTGTTTTTTTTTCTGTTTGTTTGTATTTGTTTATTTGTGTTATTTATCTATTTATTTGTTTTTATTTTTATTTTGTTTTTTTTTATATTTATTTATTTATTTATTTAAAGAAAACAAACAAAGACAAGTGTATGCACGTATTTATTTTTTTTTAAAAAAAAAAACCAAGAAAAGCGTATTTATAAAAAAAAGCAAAGACAAGCGTGTGTATTTATTTATTTTTTTTTTTGTATTTATTTTTCTCCTTAAAAAAAACCAAGACAAGCGTATTTATAAAAAAAAAAACAAAGACAAGCGTATAAATTAATTATTTTTTTTTTTAAAAAAAA